AGTGCTGGGCAAGGATTTTGGAAGCTGTGGTCGGGAATTATACCTCACCAATCTTGCTTTCTTCTCTAAAAACACATTTTAGTTTCTGCACTGCCCTATAGCATCCATTTTTCAAGATCTTTTAAGATTTGTACTTCAGGGAAAATGTGTGTGAAAAAGGCTGTGAGTCAGGTATAGGTTATCATGAAAAGGGAACACATTGTGGTTAGGAGAAATGGAATTTTTGCTCTTTTTCTTTTATTTCTTCTAAGAATTCTGTAACACTGGGAGAAATATCAAGAATATTAACTATCAATATATGCTGGGCAATTTATGTAATGAGACAAAAGAGAATTGTGTAATTAGACAAAGGAGAATATGCAGTTGTAGATATTACACATGAAAACTGCTGGTTAAAAATATAGGCATATAGAACTTTATAGAAGATAGCTCATCAGATGTTCCCTGGTGTCTGTCTTTGGTTATTGAAACTGGGATGCTCTTTGGTTCCTTTTAATTGCATTTTTTTCTCATAAGAAGCACAAATTTATTTTATAGTAAAAACGTTAACAATGTAAATTACCCTGCACGATATGGGAAGTACATTGAAATTTCTCTCCCTGCTTGGCTTTGTATGTCTTCATTCGTTCTTATTCTGGTGGTTTCACTGCATTTGCTCTGTGGTTTGCATTTTTCTGCATTCTTGTTCTCACACTAGCTCCAGCTTCCATCATTTGATTTCAGGAGATAAGTCCAGGGCCTGCCATTGCTGAAAGAGTGCAAAGAAAAGATGCATTAAATACTCCTCGGCATTTAGGACAGTAAACAATTCTGAGTTTGTCACTCCTTTACCCAGCACTCTCTGAACCTAGTTTCTCACCATACCTTTCCCTTGCTTCTCACAATTGTCCAGTAGTTCAGATGTCAGGTGTTTACAGAGTGCTTACCTTGCATGCAGCCCCAACATTCAAGGGATAAGCCACATGATATCCATGCCACTTTGGTTCATGATCTGCTTCCTATATGACTTTTCTATTCCCTAGACTCTGTTTCTGCATCCTGTCCTTCCCTTCTGTTTGTTAGTACTGGCTTGCATCACTCCACATTTGAGTTTATCTTACCTTAAGCTTATGCACAATCATGTATTTATTACAAAGCTTCCAGGGTAGACTAGGAACCAAAGTAAACATTGATTTAAAAGCCAACCACCATTTTTTTTTTGTATATTCTATCTTCAAACCATAAATATTTTTATTGATCAAATGTTTTCTTGCTTCTAAGCAAGAAACACAAGAAGTGGAATTAATGAAAAACACACTTCCAAACCTGGAGCCATGAGTTCACTGACTAGTCTTATTGCACTGGGAGGACAGAGGTGATAGTGATAATAATGGTATTAATGGATATCAGTGACTACCTTTTATGGGTGAGGCCTTGTGTTGGGTGATCTGAATGCTACGTCTCTAATTTTAACTCCCATGACAGTTAGTGAGGCAGCTCTTATTATTTTCTCCCTCGTTTTACAGTTGAGGGGCCTGAAACACAAAGGCTATTCTCCAGCTCACATATTTGCTAATAGCTGAGGTGGAGTCAGAGTCTGAACCCAGGTCTTTAGGACTTTAAATGTTTATTCTTTCTTAAACCATGAGTTAATATATGTAAAGCTTTTAGAGCAATACTCATATAATAAGCCTTTCTAGACAAGTGCTATGTACATATTATAATAATTGTTATTTTTCCTTGTTCACTTATTTGGTGATGGTAATTTTTCTTCTTTCCACCAGGTACTAGTGGCTTGAAGAGATTAAAGGCTTTACCGTAGAAACAGCACTCTGACTTAGGTCTATAATCAAGTACATGAGACTGAACAAAAATGTGTCTGAAAGAAACAAGCAAATCTCTAGTACCCTCTCTTCAATGCCCCATTCTGTCTGCTACACATGCATGTTATTTCTTAGCTAAATATTTCAGTCTTATAGAAAAAGCAGTTCCCTAGGAAAGTAGCAAATTTTATCCTGATAAACATGCTTAGCATTTTGTAATATAGATTTCTGTTGTAATTTAGTAATCCTAAAACTGCAGAGATATAAGGCACATTAAAGTTACAGCTGATTTTAGGTTGCCTTTCATTGGAATCTTTAACAATGTGAAATCATTTGTATTTGTTTAAAAATGAGCTCTTGGTTTTAGTCTACATTGCATGAAACTATCTTATATTTATCTTAGAATAATCTCAGAATTTAGCATGAGTTTTCTGTTTGCAGAATCACATTTTCTAATATGGATGGATCTCTCTTTCTCCCTGACCTTCTCCCCCCCCCGTCTCTCATGGACATCTGCTGAGCCACTTCTAGGGCTGCCTTCTGTGGGCCCCAGGTTGATCAGCTCCACCTAAGGGCTCTACACTGACAGCTGATACCCACTGGCTTTAAACAGTATTCAGCATCTGGTTAAACATTGACCCCCTGTATGGAAATTTGGACTTGAATAGGAATTTGGTTCCTCAAGTCATGGGGGAGCCTCCATGTGCTGACAAGGGGTATGGCTGGCTTCCCCTCTTGGGGCCCGCTGTTCTGGGAATAGCCCTACCTGCTATTCTGTTCCTACTCAAGCTAGGGCTCATATCAATTTAACCTGCAGAATTGGGGATCAACCGTGTAGTTCTCTGGGTTCATGTGTGGACTAAATCTCCCTTTCCTTTGAATAAATGGATCTATTTGAATGGCAGCTGACATTAAATGCATTAATTACATTAAATACATTAAATGACATTAATAATTTATACAAATTTATTTAGCTTTACTTGTGGTGACTTTCTCAGTATTTTGTTGGATTTACCTTGGTGTACAATGTTCTTTCTTGCTATACTGTTGCATTCTCCTTCAACCACATAGATGTTTGGCAATGACTCTTTTTATTTGGGAGAGGGAGGAGCAAGAGGAGGAGATTTATGTAAACCTGTAGCAGGGTTGGGACACTTGGATTGAATATATATTTCCTAATTGCAGCCTCAACCTTAAACTTTATTTAGATCTCTAGGGCCATACATCTTGAAAATTCAGCATTGTGCCACTACAGTAATGCATTTTTAAGTTTCTCCCACACTGTTGTTATATATCAAGCTATTTGTGCCTAGGCATAAAGACTAAGCTGGTTGGCAATATAATGTGCTTATCGTCAATGGTAACCACTTTACAAAATCCAACAGCACAATATATTTCCTTACATGCCCACATTTCCCAAGTATAAAAAGTATCTCTGTGAGGGTTTAAATAACTATAACACTAACTGAGAGAATTACTTTATATTCTGATCTGCCCATAAAATGGTAAGAGGTTTTTATTTTTTTTTTTCCCCTCATATCTTGGGATGAATTACAGGATGCACGGGCTTCCCATGCTATCATTGCCTTTATTTAAATGAGTTAGGCTTTGCTTGCTAGGCGAGAAGTAATCATCACTATAAAAATGGATTAAATTCTTTTATCCGGAATTAAATAATCTATCATATTAACTCTGCTGTTTAAGTTTACTGAAGCTTTTATGCCCCTGTGTATGCTCTGCTATATGAAGCTCCATTTATGCTTTCTTGAAGTTTTCCCTCCCACAGGTGAGTATCCACCCACTAATATGCTATCAGTTAACCACCCTGGTTAATTCTGTCTCTTTGTTCCCCATCCCTGGTGTCCCTGTGCAGATACGCACCTGACTTTTGTGTTGTATCAGCACTCATCATCAGCTCCACCTTCTCTCTCATCTCCACCTCTAATCAGCCCCCCGGATCTGTGGTTAATATCACACAGATCTGGTTAATAACCTCGTCCTCTTGTATTTCCCTGGTTGAGGCCCTCACCACAGCTCTCTCAGACTAAAACTGCATTTGCCCTATTAACTGGTTTCTCTGTCCCAGTCTTGTCCCCTCCTATTTGTTTTATGTAAGGTGACTAAAATAATCCTCCCCAAATAAAAAAATCTACTAATGTCACTTCTCTCCCTGCTGAAGACACAGTCCCAATCTCCTACATGGCGTTCCAGCCCCCACCGCCTCTTCCAGCTTTCTTTCTCATGCGGTTTTTCACAGCGCTGCGGGCCCCTGCACTCAACTCGGGGCTCCAGGTTTCAGAGTCTCACACACAGTGTTCGTGCCGCCTAAGATCCCCTTCCCACCTTTGTCTTGCTGGTGAACATCTCTTACTTCTTTGCAGCCCATTAAAGTTGACAGTGTCCCCCCGCCCCCCAATTAGTACTAAATAAGTAAATCACTCCCTCCTCGCCATCGTCTGCATTCTTAATCATGTGTCTCTTGTGGAACTTAACCACTGTATCCTGATCATGGGTTAACACAGCTGTTTGCTCACGAGACTGTGAACCCCTTGAGACTAGGTATTCTTTAGTCATCTTTGTAATTCCAGAGCACAGCACAGAATTTGACACCAGCATGTGCCTCATAAACACTTGTTGAATCGGTTTACTTCCCTTCTAAATCTTGTCTGTGTTATTGAATAGGTTCCTAAAAGAGGATTAGAAGGCGGCATCTTGGGTATCTCTATAGTCTGTTCTTGTCTGATTAGCTCAATTAAGAGTACAGTGTTAATGAGGCCAAGTTCTTCAATTTCACTTCTCTGTGGAGCAGTTAAATTTGTACTTTAGCTATCAGTAACCTCAACCAATTACCTGGTAAATATCATTGGTTCCAAGGGAAACGAAGAGAGAGGATGTTTAAGGTCAAGGCAAATCTATCCCAACTATTAGACAAATAGAACTAAACATATTCCTAATTTATGTTAAAAAGCACGATTTCATACTTCGGTGTGACATGAGCACCTCGTTTCATCCACTGTACCTGCCCACGTGCACTGATGAGCTTGGCTTAAAAGCTTCTCTGTTGCATTGGATGCAGCAGAAGTGCCACCTGGTTGTCAGAGTTTTGCAGCAAGGGCAATAATCGTGCATCACAGATCTTTAGGATTGTCAGCCTCTAAGCCTCTTGTCTGCCCACCTGCTTCTCTGTTTGTCTTCCAGGTGAGACCATGCGGATCGCCTCCTCCGAATTTGCTGATGACCCGTGCTCCTCGGTGAAGCGTGGCACCATGGTGCGGGCGGCAAGGGCTTTGCTCTCAGCTGTGACACGCTTACTCATCCTGGCGGACATGGCAGATGTCATGAGGCTTTTGTCTCATCTGAAAATTGTACGTATGCAGAACTTATCAAAACTTGCTTTATGTGAGTGGCGATCTCGACCGTGTATATTGTAGCTCCGAAATCTAAAGATGTTTCACCACCCACCAAAGCACTTGGTTATTCACACATGTAGTACAACCCCCCAATTTTCCTAATACTAAAATTATATTCAATAATATACTTTAAAAGTTACATAAGGTTCATTTGAATTTTGTTCCTTCCCTCAAAACTCAGAGTTTGGCTTCACCCTTACTTCCTGAAGTACATAAACAAGTATTCTTTTAGGCTACAGAACCTGGTCTTAGTGCACCTGCCTTTGCTCTCTCTCAAGTTTCAGAGCAGTCTTGGTACCTGTGATAATTTAGGCTAGAGCCAGCTCTTCTGGGTAGCTGACCACCTGTGTCCACCTTAGTATGGATCATGTGTTGAATATATTTTGTTACCTGTTCCAGCCTTGCTTTTCTGTAGATATATGGACTTTGAGCCTATAGTCTGGCAACAACAAGGTGTCCATCCACACTCCCCATGGCTACCATCAATCTTGTTGCACTAAGCCTGGCATTGAACATATATGGCTTGGGTCTCTGGGCACACGCCTGCCCCACTAACCCATAGAACCCCATTTTATGTGCCTTTCTTGTCATAGTTCCTTTTAATTCTTTTGTTTCCTAATGGAAGTGAAGCCCTGCCCTGGTCACAAATATAGCTGGAACAGAGATCAAGGCAACTTCCCCAGTCCTTGACAGTTGGTCCTTTTTCTGCTTTCCCGTTTGCTGAATAGTATCTGTTTACAACCAGGATGGTTCAACTCTTTGAACAAAGATGATGTAACTTAATTGCTTAGGAATATGGTCCATGCTTAGAGAATCTCTATCCCCTGCCTTCAGTAAAAGACGGTCTCTAGACAACGAGCACCAAGCCTGGACTGCCCTCAGGGTCCTGAGGTGATGAGTTGTGAACCACGTGCTTTCCTTTTTGGAGAACCAACCGATCGTTGGCTTAGCCGCCCAGCCCTGGGCATTTCTGGCTTACCACATTTCCTGTCAGCCAGTTCTCTAGGTCTTATTTTCTTTGTCAGTGAAATGAAGCAGGTTATGATGAGGGGACAGGTGACTTAGGAAATGAATAGAAGCCTCCTCTCACCTCACCTTGGAGCACAGATTTGTTCAGTAGAGGGGACATCCAGAAAGTATCTACATCATAATTATTCTCTTGTCAAAAAACCTTGGGTAGGATCTTTTACCCAAGCTGGCTCCAATAAAGTGTCCAAGATCTCCAAGTTATGTATAAATCCTGCAATGTTATGAAAGCCCTGTTGTGCCAACACCTGCAGCCTGAGCTCTGAGGGCACAAATTGGAAAGAGAGGTGCATCTCTTCATGGTTTCTACACAGCTCCCTGAGGAGCCAGAACACAGAGCCCAAGCTACTCGGGAGTTTGTCCTTAGGTTTTGTTCAGGGAATGGGCCCACAGAAACCAGGAATGGCTCTTGCACACTGGATGAGGTGAGCAGTTTGAGGAGACACTTTACCTATTTTAAATATTGCAGGGCAGTCTAATCATATGATTGACTGATGAGCTACTGGGGTCCAGCTGTGTCAGAACTTACTGTGTAACTTCCTTGCTCTCAGATTCCCTCCTCTGCTAAAATGGGGCTAATGGTGGTACAGCCCTCAGGGTCGTGGGGAGGTTTGAATGGGGGAAACTAGTATCCCAGAATCTAGCGCAAACTGAGTGTCATGATGGCCACGTAGAGGTTTTAAGATCACTGGAGCCACTGTAGGGCCCGGTGTTGTCCTTCTTCCAGCCCCCCTCTCTTATACACATCTTCCAGACTACAGATAAGTTCACCTTCAAGTGTTCTAGAGAAACGGATTTGCTGTCTTTCCCTTACATAGTCTTCAAAGGCAACATTTTTAGAAAAGTCTTTCCTCAGATGGACTTTCTTCCTTTACCCCAGCAGGGAGAGAACAGAACTGAACCTAAAGAAACTAACTTGACATCTCACATGTAATTATTCTCCCCCGTGCTGGGGAAGGCCCCGCTCAGTGACACTTAGAAGGTGATGACAGACTGAATCCCTCCCTGAATGGCCCACCCCACACCTGGAGAGTGGGACACATCCGGGCCTGGGACGCCGGTCTGGCCCCAATGCCGCCTGCAAACTTGCCTCTCTCCCCACCTGTTTTGGACCAGTGCTGTCAGCAGATCCATCCCTGCGGCCTGGTGCAATGTGGAGTCAATTGCATTCTCTTCTCCCCACAGCAGATTAAGGGAAGTTAAAAAAAAAAAAGGATTTAGCACACATGGAAAGGTCATCCCGGTAATATTAAGTAGTCCTGTCAGACTGTCAGTAGTAAAATTAAAAATGATTGTAGACTAAATAACACATTTGTTCTATTTAGAGCGCAGCGTCTGCAGCAGACAGCAGTGGTAGAATGTTGCCATCTTGTGGAACAAGTGAGGAACTACAATTTGTGGTATCTGAATTACTCAGGTTGTGGCCTGTGTCACACTTTAGATTGAGATCAGTCAGGGTTTCATCTTATGGGGCTATTATTACTCCACGCCCCAAAGGAAGACAAGATGTCAACAATTCCTTACTAATAACATAGTACATAATTGTGCCCAGTAGTATGTTAGTTTTGTCCGTAAAAACACCTCTTTTCATGAATAAATAATGTATTGTTTGCAAATATTTATTAGTTTGTTGTTTTTTTTTAAACTCAGGATGAAGAACATAACAAATATCTTTACATGTTTTGATGGAGCAAGTTAGGAAATATCATCTACACCTTTCTCAGAGATTTTTCTAAATAATAAATTTCTTCACCATTTGGATGCTTAAATATAGATTTACACAAAGAGTATCAGGTGCTTTCTAATAAGAGTAAAGTTGCAACTTGATTTCTGTTGGTTTAGATTGAGTAATACCATATAAGGAGTCCTACATAGCTATTTTGCCTTTAAGCATTACACATAGTATTTTACTTTTTATCTTTTAAGCCACATGTCAAATTTTTATTACTGTTCCTTCCAGACATTAATTTTTCTCATTTCTGACTAACTTGTAGGAGCATAGAGAAATCATCTCTTTTATCAGAAACTTATATTCATGTTTTCCATGAATAGTTTACTAATTCGATGAAGTATAGTCGATTTATTTTCCTAAAATATTCACCTTCACCCTCTGCCAGACACCTTTGTGTAATTGTTGGCAAATTGAATAATGGTGAGCAAATATCATTCAGAATCTAAAAATGAGTGAAGAATTATGAGCCCTGCAGAGGTTGTGTGGTTTGGCACTTGTGTACATCTTTGCATTCTGCCACCTTATGATTATATTTGGAAACTTAAATTTATGTGGCTACTGAGGAGTTCTTCTCATATAATATATGGATATATGGATACTTTAGTTGTCTGAATTATGCTAGTTGCTCTATCACACAAGTGCTTGTGTGTACTTTAACATTTTCTTCTTTTGAGTATTATTTTGTGTTAAAGACTCATGTGACTGCAAAAGGTTTTTACTGCTTCTGTGGTTTCCAGTTCAGGAGAATAGTGATGGAACAGTGGGTGACATATAGTTCCAAAGGCAAGTTAGCACCCAAGTGGGAATTTGACGTTCCTGTGAAAAGCTAAAGTAATCATCTGTACATCAGACACCATTAAAAATACTGAATTATAATCACTTTTATTGTGCTGGTGAATGATTTCCTAGCCAGAAACCTGAAATATCCTGCAATCAGTTGACATTGTCAGTGTGTTAGGTTGATATGTGGCTCCCCAGAGTTATAAAGGAATCTTGAATTTCAATCAGTGATCATGAAGCAGGGTATTTATTTTCCCTAGGCTCTGAATTAATGTAATCAAATTATATTGTCAGTTATTAGCATGAGCAATAGCGTTACACATAAACTCCTGTAGACATGTGTATGTCAGAGAAAATCACCATTTTTCCATCCTCAGGCTAGGTCCTGGTATAATGATGTTGTCCATTATCTAAGAATGGCTCTCTAGGAAATGGAATAGCAAAATAGAAAACAGCAACCACTTAGTCAACTTCTCGGGGAATTCAGATTTTCTTAGTGTCTACCAGAGGCTAAATCTAACACTATTGTCCCTTTGTTTGGGGCATTGATGAGACATAATGATCTTAACATTACCTGTAGCTTCTTGTGATTTTGGCATCAAATGGCCTTGTGCAACCTCAGTGGCTTATTATTTCTGTATAATTTACTGATTAGTCCTGAAGTTCTAATGTGGCTCTTGTGTTTGAATAACAACAGTCAGCTGGTATAACATAGCCTTCTCTCTGATTATAAATGTAGACAATGCAGCCCCAGTTCTTAGCATATCTTTTCTGTCAGAGCTATACTTTCTGTCATGACGTTAGCTTCATGCAGCTGGATTGTTCATAACTTATTTATTCAGTTATACTTTCAAGAAATATTTGCTGGGTGCTTACTATAGACAAAACACTATGTCAATATATATTCAAGGATGAATCAGACTAGACTCCTGCCTTCGAAGCCTTATGGGCAAGTGGGGGAGACATTAGGACATTAGGAAAGAGTGCGGTACCTGTGGGAAAGTATGCATATTGCTATAGTCTCACCCAGAAGGAAAATATCATTAGGATGCTTTCAGTTACAAATAACCTAATTCAACTGTGTGCTTTTTTCAAAGAGAATATATTGGCTCACCAACTAAAAGTTCCAAAGAAATAGCGTCAGGCAAGGCTTGATCAAGGTGCAAAACTGTGACAAAGACCAGATTTTCTCTCTCCTTTTCTTCACTGAGGGATTTGTTTGCTATAGGCCCTTTCCTCGTGTCCTCAAAATGGCTGCCAACCATTCTTAAGGTTACCTGCTTCTAGAGCAAGGATAGCACGAAGAGGATATTCTCTTGCCTGATCACACAAACAAGAGTTTCACAATCTTACTAGCCTCAATTGACTTCTGAGTCACATGCATATCTCTCAGTTAATTATTTGGAGGGGAATAGGA